CATATACAGCTATGACGATTTCCACCTTTGAAATTCAAGTATAAAGCCTTCTGAAACAAGCACTTTCTGCAAAGTGTACAGAAGTAGTAATGTCAAAGCATAAGCAAGTACTTAGGAGAAAAAAATATACAGGTTGGATTCAAATTTTTCATAGCCTAAGGAATTTTTTTTGCGTCAATAAAGCAAGTAACTGTGACAGATGTTGAATATACCACTATCTGAAAAAAAACATTACCTCCATTAACTATCCTTAGTAGTTTATGCTGACTTAAAAACAAATCAATACAACTATAACATACAGTTCAAACTCCATAGAGACAATACACTCCTGGGCAATTTCTTTTAAAATTCTTGCAATAAAATAAAATAGAGTCAAACTCAACTGTGGAACTTACTGCAAACTAGTTCTATTACCTGAGTTCGTAGCTGTTTGATTTCTGTTTCGAGTTCTTTGATTTTCTCTTCCCGTTTCTGAAGCTCTGCTTGGGCCTCTTGTCGAGCTGTGAACTCTTCATCAAACTGTAATGATAAACCAACACAGAAGTGTTTTTCCATTTATGTCCACACTAGATATTATACTTTGAAGAATTCTTTGAAAAATATCACAACTAGAACAATAGATGCCGTTTGATAGGTTTTTTTGCTAGGTTTCTTTGTTGGCTTTTCTAAAAGTATCTTTCCAATGTGTGGGTATTCTAGTACCACGCGATTTCTTCCACCAAGTCATGACACAGAACCACTCAGATCCAGATAGTTAGTACAGCTGTACGTTCAACAGGTTTTTCCACTCCCAACAGAACATTGCAGACTTCTCAAACTAGAGTATACATCTCATGCAGCAAGCTTAAATCTGGAGAGGTGTGTGCAGCTTCAGCAGTATCAACCATAAAGTAACATCAGAAAGGAGGTGTCTAAACAAATTAGTGATCCCTTTAGTCTTGGTGTCCCCATGTAAAACAGAAGTTGTTTACAATATGATTGTGAGAAAATTGCTGTGTATTTTCATCCTGCATCTCTTTGCTAGGCGTAAGAGACTGTAAAAGCTTCTGTTATTCATTCTTTCACAGGACAAAAGCACTTGTCACTAAGAAGATGGATTGGTTTTTCTGTGAGGGGTTTTTGGTTGTGTCTTTGGTAACAGAGGAAGGGCTATGGAGATGGCCCTTTAAGAAGCTACCTGAAAAGCTCC